CCACATAGCAGTAACAGCAGCTCCTGAGTCTGTTGCCCTTTCTGTCTCCATAGGTGCTGTATTTAGGTGGCACACAGACATACCAGTGGGCAAAACATTGTACACACTAAATAAGTGAATTAGACAGGTAGATAAGCAGACTGACAGATCTGAAGAAGAGGAGGAAAAAGAAAAAACTATTATTAACAATTGGACTATCAAGATGGCTCAGCAGTTAAAAATCCTTACTATTCTTGCAGAGTCCCCAAGTTTATTTCCCAGCATCCACTGGCAACTCTAAACAGCCCCAGGGGATTCACAACTGCTAGTCTCAACTGACCCCTGCATATACCCACACAGACACACACACATAAATACACATAATTAAAAATAAGAAATTTCTAGCCAGGTGGTGGCGGACACACCTTTAATCCCAGCACTTGAAACAGAGGCAGGCTAATCTCTGTGAAGATGGAGGTTTCTATCCCACCTGGCCCCACAGCCTCTTTACTCCAAGTAAACACACAAAGAATTATATTAATTTATAAATTATTCATCGATAGCTAGGGCTTCTTATTCGGTAGCTCTCTCTTTTTTTCTTTTTTCACGGGGGGTGGGGTTCGGGGGTGGGGGTGGGGGAGTGGGAGGGTTCAATTTAGGGTTTCTCTGTGGCTTTGGAGGCTGTCCTGGAACTAGGTCTTGTAGACCAGGCTAGTGTCGAACTCACAGAGATCCACCTGCCTCTGCCTCCGGAATGCTGGGATTAAAGGTGTGCACCACTAATGTCCGGCCTGGCTAGCTCTCTCTCAATTATTAACCCATAACTACTAATTATGTATTTCTACATGGCCTTATCTTACCAGAGAACACCTGGAGCATCCTATCTTCCCAGTCTCTACATGGCCTCTCTCTACCTCCTCTGCCCTCCCTTCTCCTGGTCTGTTCCATCTCACTTTCTTACAGTTTGTGTTCGAAGTTAGAGTTCTTTAGGATTTGGCTCTTACTCCATTTCTGGTCCAGATAATGGAGTGGATGACCAGAACTGCATGTTTGCGGGGCTGCTTGGTCAAAAGCCCGGGAAAAAGGAAAGCTAGAGAGAACCTGAAGATTGTCTCCTCCTCTGAAGGCTGGATTTTCTTCTGAGTCTCTTTGGCTTTGAGCTCCATGGGGCAGGGACTTCCTGTTTCCTTTGTGTGTTGCAAGCACTTAGTGCAGTCAGCTGGATAGTGGCTAAGCGCTTGTCTGCTCTTGAGTGGATGGATGAATAAATGAGCAAGGTCTGCCTGGCTCTAGGCTACAGAACAACGGGAGGATGGACAGAAGGTACAAGAACCACTGAGCCATGTCTCCAGCTCTTGGCCTGATAATTTTCTAAGACTGTTCATTTTCCTGTGCTGAGGAAGTGCTATTTCTAGCTATTGTTTTCTTACTTCCCAAACAGTCTTGTAATGTAAAACCCAGTGGTATGTATGTATATCATTTGAGTGCTCCTTCAAAAGCATGCAGACATCTCCACAAAAAGTGTTGGAAGCCAGGCGGTGGTGGCTTTAATCCCAGCACTCAGGAGGCAGAGGCGGGTGGATCTCTGTGAGTTTGACACAAGTCTGGGCTACAAGAGCTAGTTCCAGGACAGCCTCCAAGCCACAGAGAAACCCTGTCTCAAAAAACCAAAAAAAAAAAAAGTTGGAAATGAGTGCTGAGTCAGCAAGATGCATCATAGAGGACACGACCTTGCAGCCTCGGTATGACCAACTTATGCCACTTACAAGCTACTCTGGTCAGTCTCTGTCCTCTCACTCTGTGTGTTCATCTATAAGAAGAAAAGATGTAGATAGAAGTGATGGCGCCGGGCGTTGGTGGCACACGCCTTTAATCCCAGTACTCGGGAGGCAGAGGCAGGTGGATCTCTGTGAGTTCGAGGCCAGCCTGGTCTCCAGAGCGAGTGCCAGGATAGGCTCCAAAGCTACACAGAGAAACCCTGTCTCAGAAAAAAAATAAAAATAAAAAATAAAACAAGACTTGAAAAATGTATCTAAAACATGCATGTATATATGGACATGTATGCCTGCATATTTGCACACACACACACAACCTTGCCTATGTGGACAGTGGACAGTTAAAGATTTCATCACTTTTAAAGGTTGCAATGCTTCTCAGAATACGCCAAAGAGCAGAATCTCATGATATGCTTTTTAAAACTGTAGATCCTTTGTTCCAAATCAGAGAATAATTCAAACTGCCCTCCCTCAAAAACAGTTTTGCACACTTAACCTTTCTCTGTTACTTCTTAGAGATCCCTGTGACTCAGGCATGATATTGAACATATTTTAATCCCAGTGTTTGGGAGGTAGAAGCCAGCCTGGTTTCCATAGGGCATTCCAGACCAGGACTACATAGTGAGACCCTGTCTTTTTTTTTTTTTTTAAGATTTTATTTATTTATTTATTTATTTATTTATTATGTATACAACATTCTGCTTCCATGTATATCTGCACACCAGAAGAGGGCACCAGATCACATAAGGAGTGGTTGTGAGCCACCATGTGGTTGCTGGGAATTGAACTCAGGACTTCTGGAAGAGCAGCCAGTGCTCTTAACCTCTGAGCCATCTCTCCAGTCCTTTTGTTTTGTTTTCTTTTCTTTTCTTTAAAACAGGGTCTTGGGGCTCATCCATAATGAGATCTGGTGCCTTCTTCTGACCTGCAGGGATACATGCAGACAGAATACTGTATACATAAATAAATAAATAAATAAATAAATCTTAAAAAAAAAAAAAAACAACACCTCCCTATGGATGACCCTCAATAATCATTTTGCAAACTGGAGCAGATAATTTTGAAATCTTATCTTAGCTCATTTAAAAACTCTTTCTTGTGACAGGTAACATGAAATGGCAGAAGCTTAGTCCCACAGGGGCTGTTCCAGCAGGCTGTGCTGCCCATGCTGCTGTGGCTGTGGGAAAACATGTGTATATGTTTGGAGGAATGACTCCCAGTGGAGCACTGAACACGATGTACAAGTATCACACAGGTGAGCAGGTGTCACTCCTGGCCTGTTTTTTTTTTTTTTTAAGGTTTATTTATTATGTATACAGGGTTTTCCTGTATATATGACTGCAGGCCAGAAGAAGGCACCAGATCTCATTACAGATGGTTGTGAGCCACCATGTGGTGCTGGGAATTGAACTCAGGACCTCTGGAAAAACAAACAGTGCTCTTAACCACTGAGCCATCTTTCCAGCCCCGCTCCTGGTCTTTAAACAAATACAAACATTGTTTGAAAAGTGATGCAGAATCTTGTCGTAGTGGTGTCTTTTATCCCAGGACTTGGGAGGCAGAGGCAGGCGGATCTCTCTGAGTTCAAGGCCAGCCTAGTCTACAGAGCAAGTTCCAGGACAGCCAGGGGTACACAGAGAAACCCTGTCTCAAAAACAAAACCTTTCAGAAACAAACCCCACAGAAAAGCATGGTCTCTCTGTGTAGCCCAGCTAGTCTGAAAATGTCAGCAATCCTTTTGCCTGTGCCTCCTGAGCACTGGAATTAGATATACATTGTGCGACCCAGCCTGTTTTCCCCTTTTATTTCCTCATTGTGGATTAACTAATGCAGAAAATCATTGTTTCTGGAAACATCTGTCTCTGTCCCTCCTACTTAGAAAAGCAGCATTGGACCTCACTTCAGTTTGATACTTTCCTACCCCCTGGACGACTAGACCACTCCATGTGTGTCATCCCATGGCCAGTGATGTCCACCTCTGAGAATGAAGACTCAGATTCTGTCATTCTAAAATGTGAAGCTGAGAAAGGGGATGCTGCTGACATACAAGTGGCTCAGGGTGGTGGGTTACCTGAGGAAAGCCAGACTAACATGTTGCTCTGTTTTGTGTTCGGTGGGATGAATACAGAAGGGGAGATCTATGACGATTGCTTTGTGACTGTAGTTGACTAATAAAACCCACATTTTTATTATTTGTTACTTTTTACAAAAGTGAGGCCTCTGTGAGTCACACTGCCAAATCCTTGGCACAATGTAGTCTCTTAACCAAGAGTGCTGTGCACACCTGGGGCTGTACATGCCTGTGGAGGCAGAAGGGTCAGGAGGAACTCATTGGGAACTTCGGAGACATAGTAAATTAGAAGCCAGCCTGAACCACATGAAATGCTGTCTCAAAAGAAAATAAAAAAGACTCTAAGATGGTTCAGCAGATAAAGGCACTTACCCGGGATGACCTGAGTTGAATTCCAGGAACCCACATGATGGAGAAACAACTCCCACAAGTTGTCCTTTGCCTTCCATGAGTCTGTCGGTTGTGACAGTGTGTATCTACTCACATACTGGGTGGATGGATGCATGATTGGTTGATTTTTTAATCAAAAAATAATAATGGCCAGGCGTTGGTGGTGCAGGCCTTTAATCCCAGCACTGGGGAGGCAGAGGCAGGCGGATCTCTGAGTTCAAGGCCAGACTGGTCTACAAAAGGAGTTCTGGGACAAGCCAGAGCTGTTACATAAAGAAACCATGTCTTGAAAAAAAAATATATATATATATATATATTTCCCCCTCAAAACCAATAGCAAGTGTTTAGGCAGCTCTGGAGTGTAACTAAGTCTGTGGGCCAAAGCCCAATGTTAAAACTGGCCTTGTTTGCTTCACGCTGGGTCAAGGGAGATTATATATATAAATCTTCATCTTTCACTTAACCAGCTTTGGTAACTGGATAGCCGAATGCAAACAATTCCAGTATAAAGTTTTACCAGCAATAAAATCTGCAGCTAACCAAACTAGGTATTGGATAGACATTTATCAATTGGAATCTCTTTTTAATCTGCATTAGCTAGTCATTAAAAAAGAAGTGCAGAGAAGGGGCTGGAGAGATAGCTCGGCAGTTAAGAGCATTGTTCTTACGGAGAACCCAAGTTCAGTTCCAGGGGATCCTATGCCTGACACTCTGCAGGAAAAACACTCATACAAATGATCAGAATTTGAAAAAAAAAAAAAGTACTGATAAAAGCTGGGTGTAAGATCCTTTTTTTGGTTCATAGCATGATGGGTGTTCATGCCATTGCATGATGTGTGCCTTCCCTTAACCTTGTTCAGACTTGGGCATATTACCCATCTAAAAACAGAAAAAAAAAAAAATCAGAACATGGTGCTTTATGCCTTTAATCCCAGTCTAGTCTACGTAGTGGGACCCTGATTTTTGTTTTGTTTTGTTTTTTAAGGAGTGATAGCAAAGGAGGACAAGAATGAAGATGCCTTGTCTTTCCTGTTCACCCCTTGACCCAGCATGAAGCTAACAAGGTCAACTTTTTTAAATTTCTAATTCATTTTACATACCAACCAAGTTCCCTCTCCCTCCCCCATCCACTCCTCCCAAAGAGTAAGGCTCCCATGGGGAGTCAACAAAGCCTGGCACATTAAGTTGAGGCAGGACCAAGCCCTCCCTCTGCACCCACCATAGTGAATGGACTCCAAAATGCCAGCTCATGTACCAGGAATAGATCCTTATCCCGCTGCCAGGGGTCCCACAAACAGGCCAGGCTACACAAGCCCACATGCATAGGGCCTAGGTCAGTAACAAGGTCAATTTTAACATTTGCTTGGGCTTTGGGCCTGAAGACTTAGTTACACTCCAAACCTGCCTAAACACTTGTCTATTGGTGTTTTTTGAGCAAAGATCGGACAGTCTAGTCTGGCCTCAAAATTGTCATCTCCCTGCCTCAGCATCCCAGAGTGCTAAAATTACAAGCATGTGCTGTCATGCCCCTGTCCATCTCTTTAAGGTAAGGTGGACAGGACTGGAGCAGATGGAGTAGGATTGCACATTGTAACCTTTAATTTGCTGACATACTTCTGCCTCAGCAAGCTTCCCGAGTATGAACCACCGTGCCGGGTTCAAAATATAATTATAATATAATATTGCTGACATACTTCTGCCTCAGCAAGCTTCCCGAGTATGAACCACCGTGCTGGGTTCAAAATATAATAATGCACAAGTAAGACAGGGTTGCTGTCAGGTCCCCAAACTTTTTTTTTTTTGAGACAGGGTTTCTCTGTATGGCTTTGTAGACCAAGCTAGCCTCAAACTCACAGGCCTACCTCTGCCTCCCAAAGTGCTGGGACTAAAGGCATGTGCCACCACCTCCCAGCCTCAAGTCTACCAGTAAGTAAACTAATCTTACAGCTGGTTGGTTGTTCAGTTACAAAACACCCATCTTTGGACAGTACTGAATTTCATGTTAGCACTGGACAAAATCCTCATTGATCATATTGATTACCTAGCTCTCATCCCTTTCCTTAGGAAAGCAATCTTAACAATCCTCAACCAATCCTTGGACTAGCAAGTGAAGTTTGTAATTTCAATACCAGTAAAACCTTTAAGATTTGGGGGTTCTGACCAAATTAGGCTTCAGAGCATATTTTGGTTCATAAGCCCTGCTGAACTACATACATAACTGTAGCTGGTATATCATTAATCCTCCTGCCTCCAGCCTGAGCCACTTCACCCAGTATGCAATGCTGGGTATCAAATATAGGACTCGAGGCTGTTAACTATCTTTTTTGCAACAGGGTCTCTATATAGCTGGGGCTGGCCTGGAGCTCACTATGTAGACTAGTAAGTATGGCCTCAGAGATCCTCCTGCCTCTGCCTCCTGAGTGCTTACATCAGAGGTGTGTAGCACTGTGGATTTTCAAGCTATACATTTTAAAATATAAATTACAAACTAAGTACCACCCAGTGATAAGCATGTTTGGCACATTCAAGTCCCTTGATCTTACATCACAAAGAAAAATAAAATCCAAGTGTGTAAGTCATCAGGTCACTCAATTTTTTCTTTTTCTCTGGCAGAGGATTAAACTCAAGGCTTCACACTTGCTAAACAATGCCCTACCACTGAGTACATACCATTTTTGCATCTTTTCAGACAGCCTCAGTTCCCTAGGCAGGGCTTGGACTTGTCATTTCTCCTACCACAGCTGGAATTGTAAGCCTGGCACATCATAAGAGAATCTGCAGTCCCACATCACGACTTGTTAGAGGAAATGAAAAGGGGCAGTGATGGTGCACTTTGACTCCCAGCACAGGGGCATAGAGACACATGGATCTGAATTGAAGCCCAGCCTGGTCTAAAGTGAGTTCTAAGATAGCCGGGCCTACACAGAGACCTTGTCTTGAAATACTAAAACCAAAGAACAAACAAAAAACCCCAGAAAGCAATTTTACAAAGGGGAAGTAAGATTTCAGTCATAGTCAAGAGAACTGGACTTGGGCACTGTGAAATGAGCCTTGCCTAGGGGAAGAAACAGCAAACATCCTTTGCCTTGCTGTAAAGCTAGACAAATTCAAATTCCCAGGAAGTAGAACAACCCAGCAACATCACAAACCCTCCTTCCCTGCCCAACATATAGACAAACACCTGAGAATCGAGCCTTAAATTTTACCTATCTAAAATAAAAGACAGATAATTACAAGCTTTTCACAAAAATTAGACCAGTGTAAATAACAAACATTTATTGGTGTCATTTACGGTAGAAAAAAGTTCCTACACCAGATGTGCATGACCCAATTGTTAAATAGAACATTTCCAAGGTGAACACACACCCTGACCCAGCTTTTTCCCCAATTTTAAAAATTGCCAATTCCTCCTTTCCCCAACCCCAAGACATGTGAGCAACTGCTAATGAAAAGCAGTAAACAGCCACTTGGGCTATAGCATTTTCAACTCCACTCTGAGGTGAAGATTCCAATTACATTCGAGACTTAAGTTCTCTCAATTTTCTCCTAACGAAAGTTCCTGAGTCCAATATTTACAATATTACAGCCCTAGCAGATCAGTACACCTACAACTCATCTTTTTCTGATGTATCCTCTTCACCAGTTGGGGGAGGGCCTGCACTTCCATAGAGTTTGCTAATAATAGGCTGAACAATTTCCTCTAGTTCCTTCTTTTTAGCTTTAAAGTCTTCAATGTCTGCATCCTGGTGGCTTTCCAGCCATTCAATCTTTTCCTCTACAGCTTTCTCCATGGTTTCTTTATCTTCAGAGGAAAGTTTACCGCCCAGCTTTTCTTTATCTCCAATCTGGTTCTTGAGAGAGTAAGCATAGCTTTCCAACTCGTTCCTGGTATCAATGCGCTCTTTGAGCTTTTTGTCTTCCTCAGCAAACTTCTCTGCATCATTAACCATCCTTTCAATTTCTTCAGGTGTCAGGCGATTTTGGTCATTGGTAATTGTGATTTTGTTTTTGTTCCCTGTACCTTTGTCTTCAGCTGTCACTCGAAGAATACCATTAACATCTATCTCAAAGGTGACTTCAATCTGGGGTACCCCACGAGGAGCAGGAGGAATTCCAGTCAGATCAAATGTACCCAGAAGATGGTTGTCTTTTGTTAGGGGTCGTTCACCTAGAGCAGTAACAGGAAAAACTTGTTATTGACAAGCCTCAGTGTACTGGTATCCTTACACTTCTTATAATGTGGGGAGTGGGTGGCAAGGACCCTTTATTGGGGTAAAAGTCAGTATTGAACCAAGAGCGGCAACTCACTGGGCGCTACTACTCTTAACCAAATTTCATCTCTTAAAAAACACTATAAAAGTCCCTTAATTTGTATTTCAAAAGCCAATGGACAAGTATGCAAAGTACTGAAGCAGCTTCTTCATTTGAATTACAGAAGATACTTCTTTCCCTGGGCATTTTAATAATGTATTATTAGATCCAAAGTCACACTCTTTCAAACTACACAATATTTGTGAATGTTAATAATTACCTTCATAGACCTTGATTGTTACAGTTGGCTGATTATCAGAAGCTGTGGAAAAGATCTGAGACTTCTTGGTGGGTACCACAGTGTTCCTTGGAATCAGTTTGGTCATGACACCTCCCACTGTTTCAATACCAAGTGTAAGAGGACATACATCAAGCAGTACCAGATCACCTGCAGAAGAGAATTAATCAAGTTAGATTTCAATTTGAGTCCTAAGAGCACTACACTAAGCAATGTCCCACTGTCATTTGCCCAGGTTGTAACCATAAACACAATAGAGCAAATGAATTAACAGCTACTAGTGATGTTAACTAAGCCTGACCCAGGTCTTGTCATCATCACTTTACCTTCATTAGCTATGTGACCTGTTGCTCCTCACCCTACAGCTTTCTGAAGCAACAGCTGACCACTGGCTACTCCAACACATATGTGAGAGATACAGTGAGTAACCCACCTGTATCTTGATCACCAGAGAGGACACCAGCCTGGACAGCAGCACCGTATGCTACAGCCTCATCTGGGTTTATGCCACGGGATGGCTCCTTGCCATTGAAGAACTCTTTCACCAGCTGCTGAATCTTGGGAATCCGAGTAGACCCACCGACAAGAACAATTTCATCAATGTCTGATTTCTTCAGATCAGAGTCTTCCAACACTTTCTGGACTGGCTTCATGGTAGATCGGAACAGGTCCTACAAAAAAGGCATGATTATGATTAATGTGGTGCCCACTGTACCTAGACATTGTTTAGTTACCCTGCATCAGGTATCCTAAATTCTACAGTGTAAGTGGCCCTCAGCAGCAACCAAAGAGCTTACCATGTTCAACTCTTCAAATTTGGCCCGAGTCAGGGTCTCAGAGAAGTCTTCTCCTTCAAAGAAGGACTCTATCTCAATTCTTGCTTGATGCTGAGAAGACAGGGCTCGCTTAGCCTTTTCCACCTCACGACGAAGTTTCTGCACAGCTCTGTTGTCTTTTCTAACGTCTTTCCCAGTTTTCTTTTTGTACAGCTTGATGAAGTGTTCCATAACCCGCTGATCAAAGTCTTCCCCACCGAGATGAGTGTCTCCATTCGTGGCCACCACTTCAAAGACACCATTGTCAATGGTCAGAAGAGACACATCGAAGGTTCCACCGCCCAGGTCAAAAACGAGGATGTTCTTCTCGCCCTCTCTCTTATCCAGGCCATACGCAATAGCAGCTGCTGTGCTGTAAAAATGAAGTAGAGGAGAGAAAAATCTAAAGCCAGGTTCTCATTTCCCCTACCTGGCAGATCCACTGAACCTCGAGTTCCATACTTACGGCTCATTGATGATCCGCATGACATTCAGTCCAGCAATGGTGCCAGCATCTTTGGTTGCTTGGCGCTGGGCATCATTGAAGTAAGCCGGCACAGTAACAACTGCATGGGTAACCTAGGAGGACAAGAGATAACTGAAGTATACTTTGTTACTTCCCTATCTTATCAACTACAGCCAAAGCACATCAGTTTCTTTTTGGTTTTTTGAGACAGGGTTTCTCTGTGTAGCCCTGGCTGTCTTGGAACTAGCTCTTGTAGACCAGGCTGGTCTCAAACTCACAGAAATCCACCTGCCTCTGCCTCCCGAGCGCTGGGACTAAAAGCATGCACCACCAACACCCAGCACACATCAGTTTCTAAGTCAGCATACTGATAATATGATACTGATAATAAATCATAAACTTTTATAACCACAAAATTAAATAACTCATGAAAACTGACTAGCATTTAGATTGACCTTCCACAAAGCACTAAATCATTAAGCCTGACAAAAGTTGTTACCAGTTAGATTAAAAGATTTTAAACCAGGAAGATTTCCTATGTAAGCCAACAGGAGCAACAAAACCTTTTAACACTTAACACCATGCCACACATGTATTTACCTTCTTTCCCAAATATGCTTCAGCAGTTTCTTTCATTTTAGTGAGAACCATGGCAGAAATTTCTTCTGGGGCAAATGTTTTGGTTTGCCCACCTCCAATATCAACTTGAATGTATGGTTTAGTTTTCTTTTCAACCACCTATGATAAAGAATAATTTAAAGGTAATTTTTCCGAAGTTGAAACAATGGCACCACAAAGTTTAAAGAAAAAATAATCCGTTTCTTCTCTTCCATAACTTGAATTCATTTTGGTCCCTTAGGGAGATCTTGACTAAGACTAAGCACAGCTGTATTGTGGGCCGATCGACAGTTTTTAGTCTACCTTCCAACTTTTAGACATTGTAACACTGTGTCTCTTCTCATAATACTAAAAGAGACTACATCTAAAACCGTTACGTAAACCCCGACTGCATCCTTTTAGCCGTTTGAATGTTTTTCCGCCTCGTTTCAACCTCTAAATTTCCCACCACCCTAACAGCCCCTTAAGCGTGGGTTAAAAAAAAAAAAAAAAAAACGGATTGGACCTTGAAAGGCAAGAACTTGATGTCCTGCTGCACTGAAGGGTCATTCCAAGTGCGTCCGATGAGGCGCTTGGCGTCGAAGACCGTGTTCTCGGGATTGGAGGTGAGCTGGTTCTTGGCCGCATCGCCAATCAGACGCTCGCCTTCAGGAGTGAAGGCCACATACGACGGCGTGATGCGGTTGCCCTGATCGTTGGCTATGATCTCCACGCGGCCGTTCTTGAACACACCAACGCTGACGGAAACACCCCACAGAAAAGGAATCAGCACCTCACTCTCTCACGCCGGCCCAGGAGGCCACGCCCCACTCTCTCTCCCCCACTCACCAGGAATAGGTGGTCCCCAGGTCGATGCCGACCACCGTGCCCACATCCTCCTTCTTGTCCTCCTCCTCGGCCCGCACCGCGCAGAGCAGCAGCAGCGCCGCCGCCACCATAGGGAACTTCATCTTGCCGGCGCTGTGGGCCAGTGCTCAGCGGTCGGTCCGTCTGCAGTCTCGAAGTCCAGCAACAGGCTGTAGTCCCGGAGCGCGGCGGCGTTCCGATCTGAGGGCGACAGAAGCCCCCCGGGTCAGGAGGAGCCACGAGACAGGCTCAAAGGAGGTCTGGCAAGAGCAGGCCGCGGCGCTTACCTCTCGGAGCCGCAAAGGCAGGTCCTCCGGTCACTGTTGTCTTGGCCAGTGTGGAGCGCGCCGCCGCCGACTTGGCTTATATACCCTCCCCCCAGCCCCGTCGTGGAGGCCTCCGATTGGTGAAGGCGCTTCTCGTTGGAGGACGCTGATTGGTCCATGCCACCAAGCTGGCCGCTGCCGATTCGAAGCGGCCTCCTCCGCAACTTACGTCACCGCTACGCCCCCCGGGCTGACTCATTGGCTACTGGTTACTCTCAACGGCCGCCAATGAGAGGCAGCATCCGCCCTGTGCGCCGGTCCTATTGGTTCAGCAGCTGCCTGTCCCTCAGGTGACCTCTCAACCCGAGACCGTTTCCGCCGGTAACCGTCCAGGTCCTCCCGTCACCCGGCCCCCGGGGACTGCTGCGGGGTCTGCGTGTCAGTTCCCTCTGGGCGGTGGGACTTGGGTCCTTCCCCGGTCTGTCCCTTACCCCGAAGCAGTATGCGGCCTTTTCTCCTCCTAAGTCCCCTCGGGTCCCGAGCTGCTCAGCCTCAGCATAGATGCTGTGGTCGCCTGGGAACGCATCTCTGCCCTTCCAAGCCTCCCTCACGTTCTCGGGTAGCCGAGCGCCCGGGCTCTATGTTACCCACCCGGCCTGCACGTCTCGAGCTGGGTCCTAGTCTGTGTTCTGCCTCTCTGCGAATCGTGGCTCTTCTCAGCCAACTGTTTTCCCTTCACCCCTAGGCCAGCTGCATTTGTCTATCCTGGCCTTGCCAATTTTTCTTTTCTTGGGGTTAAGTCCCAGAATTGGCCTGGCCATTTGCAACCTAGTACTGAGCCCCCCGCTATGCTGTGGCTATTCTGTTCTATGAATAGTCAAGCGAGCACTTTCCACCCTGGAATATATCATTTTTTTTCTCTAGCTTGTCGCCCCATAATGTTCCCGATCCTTGTCTATCATTTTCATTTGTGGCTTGGTTATAATTTACAAGTCCTTCCTCATCCCTTCTTGACACCATTCTATCCTGACTCTTGAAATAGGTCTGATATGACAAAGGCATTTAGCAGACAAAGAAAAAATTGTCTTCCTGATGCTATGTAATAATAACATGTTGCAAAAAATACTAAATGTACTTCGTTGTTCCTTTTTGAGACATGGTCCAAACTGGTCTTGAAGTACTTATCCTGCTTAAAACACTGGTAATAATAACATGTTGCAAAAAATACTAAATGTACTTCGTTGTTCCTTTAGTTTTGAGACATGGTCCAAACTGGTCTTGAACTACTTATCCTGCTTAAAACACTGTTCTAAGGTTTTTTTTTTTTTGCATGTGTCATTTAGTCCTTTGATTAATTCTTGGTAGATGTTTCCCATTTTCCAGAAGAGATCATTGGGGGGGGGGTGGCTAAATAGAATAGTCACTGGTGAGTGGTACAGGTAGAATTGATAACCTGGTTGATCTGTAGCTTATGCTATTGACTTTTTTGGTTTGGTTTGGTTTGGTTTTTCGAGACAGGGTTTCTCTGTGGCTTTGGAGGCTTTGTCCTGGAAGTAGCTCTTGTAGACCAGGCTGGTCTCGAACTCACACCTGCCTCTCCCGAGTGCTGGGACTAAAGGTGTGCGCCACCACCACCCACTGACTTTTTTTTTTTAAGATTCATTCATTTATCTTGTACACAGAGGGCACCAGATTTCACTACAGATGGTTTTGAGCCACCATGTGGTTGCTGGGAATTGAACTCAGGACCTTTGGAAGAGCAGGCGGTGCTCTTAACCACTGAGCCATCTTTCCAGCCCCACTTTTTTCTTTTTTTAAAGATGGAGACTCATGTAACCCAGGCTAGCCTCAACACTTTGTAGCAGATGACTTTGAACTCCTGAACCTTCTGCCAATACCTTCCAAGTGTTGGGACTAATAGGCATACATTACTGTGTCCAGTTGGGACTTGACCCAAGATTCTGTGCATGCTAGGCAACTGACTGATATCCATCCCCTGGGATGGAGCTCTCAGATCTACTGTCTCTGCCTCCCATGTGCTTACTTATATACATGCTTATAGGAGATGCTTAGGATGTTGTCACGGGCAGGAAATGACTCCAGTATTCCCATTAAATGTATCTTGAGCTTCATAAGTAGACTGTCTGAATACTACTGGAACATTACACACAGTTCACTAAAATGTGAGCTTGTGAGTCACTGTTCAGGAATTTCTCCTTTCTTGTTCCTCAAAGGTTATGTTGGTGACTCAGTCAACACCATCTTTTCTACAGATGTTGCATCATACACCACTTTCAGTAAGGCTTGTAATACTGTCATAACATTGATCTTCCTTGGGACTGTACCAGTCCAGTATGAAGACAGAAGTCACTAAGCCCAGTTTACTGCTGCATGCCTTTAATCCCTGGTCCCATGAAAGAGCAGCCAGTGCTCTTAACCACCGACCATCTTTGCAGATACTTTTGGCTTGAATTTTAAAGGAGACTACAGCCGGATATGGTGGCTCATGACTTTAATCTCAGCACAAGGGAGGCAGAAGCAGAGGGATCTCTTGAATTCAAGGCCATCCTGGTCTAAATAGTTCCAGAGCTGCATATTGAAACCCTATATGAAAAAAGAGTAAGAACAAGAAGAAGAAATGAAAGAAAAAAATCACTATTTGACCACATCACAGCTTCATGTCATTTCAAGCACATCTGTATCACAGTCTATTTCCACTAAAATACAAAACTCAATTTCAGCCTGTTTTTTGATTAATGAAGTACTTGCACCAATTTTTGTAACATTTAAAAAAGTGATACCTGAGCCACACCTAGTGGTAGGCCTGTAACCCCAGCTACTGAAGAGGCTGAAGCAGGAGGATTACAAGTTCATGTGTGCCTGGGCTATACAGTGAGTCCAAGGCCAGCCCAGGAAACTTAGCAAAAACCCTGCTCAAAAGAGGAAGTTGGGGGTGCAGCTCAGTGTTTGAGCACTTGCCTGGCATCCTGAGAGCTCTAGCTCCCCTGTCTCTGTTTCTATGTCTTTCTCTCTGTCTCCCACTCTCTGACACACTAACACAGTGTCTTCTTTTCCTAACTTAATCTTGGGTTTGGCTGGGTTAGGTTGAGATAGGCCCATTTACACCAGGCATCAGGCTTGCTTCCAGTACTCTATGTAGTCAAGGCTGGCCTTGAACTTCTTATTGGGTTAGGTTGAGATAGGCCCATTTACACCAGGCATCAGGCTTGCTTCCAATACTCTATGTAGTCAAGGCTAGCCTTGAAGTTCTTATCCTCCCAAGTGCTGGTATTTGAAGTATGTCACCAAGTTAGACTGACTGGCCAACTTCTAAAGCAGTGATTCTCACCCTTCCTAATACTATGACCCTTTAATACATGTTGTGGTATTATACCCCAACCATAAAATTACTTCATTGCTACTTTATAACAGTAATTTTGCTACTGTTATGGGTCATGATGTAAATATCTGTGTTTTCCTTAGGTGATCCCTGTGAAAGGGTCAGGAGTTGTAACTCACATGTTGAGAATTACTATGCTAAAGGATTAAGTATGTCAGTGGCTATAGCATCCTTTACTTTCTTCTTTTTTCTTGGGTAGGGGTTGTTATAATGAGACATGGTTTGTAAACCAGGTAGGCTTCGAACTCTCAGAGATCTAGCTGCCTATGCTTCAAGAGTGTTAGGATTAAAGACGTGCACCACTACTGCCTGGCTCTTTTCTTTTTTGAGACTGAATGTTTCTAGATAAGTATACTACATATTTTTGGCTGGCCTGAAACTTGTTATATAGACTTAGCTGACCTTAAACTCACAAGGAGCCCCTACCTCTACCTCCCCAGTGCTGAGAGGAAAGTCATGAGCCACCATGTCCAGCTGTAGTCTCCTTTAAAATTCAAGCCAAATGTATGTGTAAAGATTCTTGGTGGTTAAGAGCACTGGTTGCGGCCAAGCATTGGTGGCTCACGCCTTTAATCCCAGCCCGTGGGAGGCAGAGGCAGATGGATCCCTGTGAGTTCGAGACCTGGGAGGCCTACAAGAGTGAGTTCCAGGACAGCCTCCAAAGCCACAGAGAAACCCTGTCTTGAAAAACCAAAAAAAAAAAAAAAAAAAAAAAAGAGCACTGGCTGCTCTTTCAGAGGACCCAGGTTCAATCCCCAGCACTCACATAGCACCTCACAACCATCTAACTCCAGTTCCTGGGGATTCAAAGCCTTTTGTCTTCTGCAGGTGTCAGGCAGGCATGTGATGCACAGACATACATTCGGGCAAAATACCCACACAAATAAATTATTTTTAAACACACACATGTATAATGTATATGTATGTAGGCCAGGATAGCAAGGAGAGCTGGGGTTTAACTCTTAAGAGCACACACCTTGGCAGATGTGCCCAGTGCTGCAGACAGGGCTGTCACCGTAACAGTGGGAAAGAGCATCCTAACCCGGTCATAATGAGGGAGCTTTGTAACCGGTGAGATTAAGATATCCTTTATTAGAGGGGCTGGAGAGATGACTCAGAGGTTAAGAGCACTGACTGCTCTTCCAGAGGTCCTGAGTTCAATTCCCAGCAACCACATGGTGGCTCACAACCACCCGTTATGAGATCTGGTGCCCTCTTCTGGTGTGCAGATATACATGGAAGCAGAATGTTGGATACATAATAAATAAATAAAATATTTAAAAAGATATCCTTTATTAGATAAATGCCAGCCGAACGCAAGCCAGAACATGCCAGGGGCAGCAAGGCAGGGAGGCCAGAGAGAAGGGGCTCCCATGTGCCTTGTCTGTCCCTTTAAAACCCTATCTTGAGTCATCATGACCTCACCTTGACCACACCCTGATAGGTGTGGTCAGGCACACCTGTAGCCAGCTTGAAGAGCTGAACATGGTAAGCTCTTTAGTTGCTGCCGAGGACTTACACTGTCCCCTACATATGTACAATAAATACACACATACATACATACATATATGCATATACACATATATATACTTGAAGCCAGGTGTAGTGGCCTTTAATCCCAAGATTGAAGAGGTATAGGTAGGTAAGGTAGATTTCTGTCAGTTGAAGGCCAG